TCACAATCCTTTCTTTTGTTCAACTCTTCTAAAAGAAACCTTTATGTATGCTTATGTTATTTAGACGATAGTTAAAATGAATATACTTTTAAGTGGAGTCATATATTATCTAAAGATTTATAGTAATGTATTTATAACTTTTTATGATAAAGATCTTGTAAAATGTGTTACTTGTTAGCAAAATTTTGCAACGTAAGATGTAAAGAAAATGATATGAACTCTAATAACATGGTATCTTTGACAATAGTTTTATGAAAGAATCACCGTCTTTCAACATATGGCCCCTTTTTTTCAGTAAATGAGTCTCAACCTTTAATTCTGAGCATTTAAGCCTCTAGCATTTATATTCGTAGGAAAGTCTCCAAATCTTTTTTCTTAAAATTTTTTTGCCCCAAAGCTAGGTAAGGTTCTTTGCAAGTTAACCAGTGATTAATACAGCAACGAATATAATAATATTAAGTCATTTTCATTGATCTAGGAAAATTATACGTGTAATAAATCTTTAATAAGAAAATTTGATTCGAAATGTATGAAGCATGATAAAAAAAAAATTTTTAAAAATATACTTCTCTCTAACAACTTGTTATTTTAAATGAGATAGTCTAACAATACTTTGATATTAGTTTATTTAGTGATAACAGACAAATAGAGTCATATGTATCCCAATCAAGCTGACTCAAATTAAAGAACTTTAACAAAGAAGTCAATTCTGCTACGACCAAAAATGTGGATGATATGTGCAGGAAGTGATAAATTGCACTGTAGGTCCGCAATCTATGGTATGGATAGAAAGTTGGTACCCAATTCTAAAGTTGAGCAAGTTAATCCTCAAATTTTTATTGAAATTGATTAACTAATCCCTACTAATGAGAGTATCTAACTTTCTATTAAATTGACATGTGACCCTCACATGTCTAAATCTATAAAATTAGAATTCCATCTTCGATGTGGGTTGGTGCTTTTAAGTGAAACACGTTTTCATAAGGAACATGTGATTGTATAACGAATATTTAGACAATATTCTTTGTTACTAGTGTCTTATTCTAAAACTATAATGAAAAGATGAGGATCAATTTGTTCATTTCAAAGGTACGGAACCAACTTGATACTTTGAAAACAAATTGAGAATCAGTGATGCAATTTTCCCAATAAAAAGTTAAGTATTTTTCTCTCTCTTTCTCCTTTATAAAAGTCCTTGTTCTCTCCCCATTTTCTACCATCTATCCCAAGTTTTACTAATTTCTGTCTGAAATGAGAAATAAAGGAAAGGAATTGGGAAAATGGAAATGGAGGCTGCATATATGTCTAGTGGAGGGGTGGAAGACGGCTTTCATGGCGGCGATAAACGAGTGTTGATGGTTAACAAGAGAACAATGAAATTTTCCAACTTCTTTTCCAAATTTTTGGGTCTAAGGCCTAAAAAGTATGGACACGGATACGTACAATCCACATAATCAAAAGGCTCCTCCTGAGTTCTTGTGAACACAACACGATATGAATATGTATACACGAGATTTTTTCCAAAAATAGGGACATGTACGTATTGCGGACATGTAAATTTAAATCGAAAGTTTATGTATGCATTTAAATTCTTTGAAGTTAAAATTTTTTTGTATTATGTATTTAACTTCAGACATTTTATATTTTAATAAGATTGGTACTTTTTCAAATTTTGATAAATCTTTTAAATTGGATGAGTACAGAGGTTATAAGTGTTTGTATCAGCGAAAGAAAAATGCCTAGATATGAAAATTTTGACGTAATATTTGCAGAATTTTTTTAACATTGTTTAAACATTTTTAGACAAAATGTTTAATAATTAAATTTTATTTATTTTTTTTTCCAATTAACGAAATTGGATTTTTCACGATCATCATAGTAAGGATGTGTTCTCACATCTAAGAGATAGAATATAAAACATATAGCACACATCGTCATGCATGTCATACAAATGCCCCAGTGAGCATCCCAACACTCTCTCAAGTATCAAAATTTTCGAAAAAATATATAAAAATAGGATAAACTATGTGGTTTGTCGAACAAAAAGTCATGGAGTGTTTGACACAACATTATACTCCCTCCTAATAAGTATTCATGCTTCATAATTCAGCACTTATTCTGGATGTAACAATACTTGTCGTAAATAAGTAGCAAGTAGATATCTAAATAAGATCAAAAAGACATTCATCATTCTTTACTTTTTACAATATAATGAAATATTTACCCGGTTTTTTGCATTTATAATGATTAGATTGATAATATTTTAGTACTTTCTAAAAATGTTGATCAACATTTTACTTATTTAAATATTTTTTTTAATACATTTAAAAAAAAAAAATCAGAATTGGAAGCAATTTCATAGTCTTCCCTTAGAAAACAGCAGTCAAATTATATTTCGGAGAGGTTACTAGTTTCCCTAAGATCACCTTACTGGTTCAGTTTCATCTTCAATGTTTTTGAATTCCTTGTTGGGATTTCTTGTTTTTCTTCCTTTTTTTGGTGGGAAATTTTTAGTTTATTGAATTTTGGTTTGAAAAACCGGAGAATAAGATTGGGATTGATTCGAATTTCTTCAATACAGTAATTTTTTATTGGTGAAATTTTTAATATTTATCAAATTTTAGACAATATCGATGTTCTTAATGAACTAAAGCTGCGAAACTGCAAATATGAAGGTAAATTTTGGAGTTAAATTTGTTTAACCGGTTTAGCGACACGGATTGTGTCCTCAGACTGTCAACTTTCCTAGAAGGTTAATTTGTCAAGTATAGAAGCTACATTTTTCTTTTTTCTTTTTTTTTTAAATATATTCTAAGATATCTTCATGTCTAGTCAATATGGAACTTTTAACAAAGTACTACATCATAATAGTCCTCACAATACCTCCCAAGTGCCAGCTTTTTTTGTCCATCCTCTTTCAACCAAGAAGAATAGCACACATCATCTCTATTGCACTAGACTTGCTATACCATGAAACTCCATCAAATTGAGAGCTTATCTTCACGAAATCTCCGGTTATTGTGACTAATTGGGTTCCACGCCTTTATTTAGCTCTTTCACATACTTCTAAAGATTCATCTTACACGTTCACATGACTAACTCTAGAACATGACTCTAAACTACATGTTGGGACATGAAGTTGAAGTTTCATCATAATAAGGTAATGGACTCAATAGAGTAGTTCATCCCCTTTATCTTCAAACTAAACCTGAATTAATCCTTTCTTCCCTCTCTCTATTTTAAGCTAATGTGTTAACATTTCAGCAAACAGAAAATCCCACTTCAAAAAAATATATTATTTTTGAAACAGAATATTAAATGCTTGATAAAAACAAAATATACCAATATATTGACCAATAAAGTGACAGCTAGTAAGGGATAGTTACATCACATGAGACTTTTAGATGAGTGAATTTATGTAATAGTCCAATTGGGAAGTGTCTTTTGACAATAAATTAATATGAACAAATTTTGGGATCAAAAGTTTTTGACCAAATATATGCTTCCAACTGAATCTATTCAAATCCACTTCCATTACTTTATGATCTGAATTTCTTGCATTCTATTATAATGATATATTTTTAATTTTAAAACAATATTTTCATGATATAGAATTCTATGTTAGTTGTTATCGTTATTTATCTGTGAGATACTTCATAATTTGTTATAATGATGAAGGATGTACCCTTTAGGCTTCTTGAATTTTTAAGATGATTTCGAGACATATAAGTAAGCTTTCATGAACAGCTTTTCTAGCAATCCTTGTATCGCTTTTTTTGTTTTGAATCTTGGACTTTCGTTTTAAAAGGATAAACCTTATTAAGATAGTTAATTTGAACATTTGTACGTTGGTTATTACTTCATACTTAAGTGACATGGAATTTTAGTCTTACTATTCTGTCTCATTTAACAAAATCAAACTTAGATCGTGTCTGTTCTTGTCGAAAATATTGTTTGAACATTTTCAATTCTTAATATTAATATAGAAGTTCAATCTTAAAAAGTTAGACCGAAATAAAGAAAAAATTCATTTTTTTTTCATATTAATTATTATTTTATATTAAAGTGACGTGAAATTTTAATCTTAACTGTCGTGAACTCGACAAAAATAAGCACTTTTCCTTTCCAAAAATTATGTTGCCCACCCCTACTCCCTTCTCGTTCTTTAAAAAATTAAAAATAAAAAAATGCGACTTCACTTTCCTTTCCCACCTAATTGCCCAAAAACTAAAAAAGGGTTCTTCTTGCTCATAATTAACCATTTGTTGGGACATAACAAACAAGAGTGTTGTCAATGTACCGCAATCAAGTAATTGTCCAAAGATGTTAAAATAAGAGTCTACACCCACGATCGTAGATTTGAATGCCTATGTAATCAATACTTTAAAAAATAGACAATTTTAAATCTTCCGTCCAATTCAAGTAATCGTGAACTAGAGAGAAAATTATGATCATATAATAAAACCGAAAAAAGGAACTTTATCAACTATTTAGATTAATTGTGTACAAGATGAACTAGCTATTATATTTTGAATGCAGCTTCAAATGTACGCGTATATTCATATCAAGCTAGGATCTTAGAAAGAAGTCAAATACCCATGCCTACTACCATAAATGTGACTTAATCAACTAATTAGTTTATCGTGTACAAGATAAATTGGTTACTATTTTTCGAAGAGAAATACTATTTGACCAAGATTTGTGCGCAAGAGAGAATCTAGCCAGGGTCTGTGCAAATGACCCTCGTCAAATAGCATTTCTCTTTTTCGAATGAAGTGTCAAATCTATGAAACTATTCATTTCAAGTTAGGATCTTAGAAAGAAGTCAAATCCCCGTCCCCACGACCATAAATGGGAACGGCACATGCAATTACACTACACAAGAAATTCCCCCACGCAACTCCCATGCATTAATTTTCATATCCTCCTTTCACACTCATTACTCATAAGAAAATAATTGAAAATAATTAAAAATAATATATATCTTCTCTGTCTTCCCCTATATAAGCCCCTACACTCTCTCCATTTTGTATCATCTTTAGCAAGTTTCTACTTCTTTAATTCTTTCTGAAAAAAGGAAAGAAAAACACTTAGAAAATAGAGATGGAGTCTGAATACTTGTCTAGCAATGGCGGAGGAGAGATAGGGGGTGGCGTTAACGGCGGCGAGAAACAAGTAGTGGCGGTGGCTAACAAGAGAGCAACGAGTTTACCCGATTTGGTTTTGCGGTTTTTGGCTTTGGCACTTACGCTGGCGGCAGCTGTGCTTCTTGGCGTCAATAAGCAGTCGACTGTGGTACCAATAACTTTGGTGCCAACGCTGCCACCGGTGAATGTTGAGGTCACAGCGAAGTGGCATTACTTGTCTGCCTTTGTGTGAGTATATTCTACCCTGTGCTTCTTTAGAGCAAGTTTTTGCTTATAAGTAAATAAGAAATTTTTTTCTGATAAATGATTTGCAGAATTAAAAATAAGTTAATTATTTCGAGGCAAGTAAGGAATAATTAACTCTTGTTAATTATGTTTCATGGGATTAGTATTCTAAGGTTTTTGGTATTAAATGATCGCGGAAGGTTGCAAATGAGTTACAATTTCAAATCTTGAATCGGAGTTCAAATTGGAATTTTCTGCAACCATGAAATCTGGCAATATTTTATTTTGTTTTATTTTATTTCTAGTTTTTGGTCGTGGTTGCTCACTGTTACATAATATGGAATGGGGTTTTTGGTGTAGGTTTGATGGTTGTGGTGGTAGTTGATTCTGTGGCTGTGGCTGGTCGACGGGAGTTAGTGTCGTCGTTGCTGGTTTTGGGCAACGGATTTGGGTAGTGGTTTTGGGGGGGGCGGGGGGGGGTGGGGGGGGGGGGGGTGGAGGAGATTTTGAAAAATGGTAGACAAACAAGGGTTAGGGTTTAGAATTGTTTATGCATAAAGCCCTCATTTGATAAAAATTAAAATTTAGATTTTTATTAAAATTAAGGTCAACAATTAATTTTGACCACATATTTGATGAGATCCACAGTTTCACGCATTTCATTAACTTAGATTAAAATCTGTTAAAAATTTGAGCCAATTTTATTAATTAGTAAACATATAAATTAAATTTTGGGATATTTTAAATTAATATTTGATAATCATTTTGCTTAACTATGACAATGTTTGGTTGATGTGATAGGTAGATAACTCAACATCGTCTCAAAGAAATTTATTAATTTTACATTTATAATTTCATTATTCAATTCGAAATCTTACGTGCATATTGAACTTCTTTATGAATATTTGACACATGAAATTTTCATAAATAAATGAGAGTAACTATTGATAATTGAGTTCAAGATTTATTATTTTTTTTTTATTCTTATATTTTCATGTCATTCTTTTAATAGGGGTCGGTTCAACACCTCTCACTCCTTCCCCGAGCCTCAAAATATCGAAAAAAAAAAAACAAAAATAAGGAGAAAAAGACAAAATTCTAAAGGAAAAATTCATATTTAAGGTATATTCTTTACACCATTTCAAAAGTGAGGTAAAAAGTTTGAAAATTCAAAATTCATGTTTGTATTTAATTAATTAAAATTATTTATTACATAAATATATTAAAGTCACAGTTAAACAATTAATGGTCACAGATTTCACAGATTTATTTACCAGTCACATATCATCAAATTAATTGGTCACGGATTATTTCGCAGATTATTGTTTTAGTCATAGATCGTCAAATTTTAAGGTCACGGACCAAATCATTGAGGTCACAGATTATTGTTTTAGTCACAAATCGTCAAATTTTAAGGTCACGAACTAAATCGTTAAGGTCACAAATGTCAAATTTTAAAGTCACAGATCAAATTTTATGATCACCCCCACCACTAGTCCCATCTAACACCAATCTTGATCACAAAACACCACCACCCAATCGCCGCTTGCACACACCTAATCCCGATCCAATTCCACCGCAACACTTGGTCACAAACATCATCCATCACCACCATTGCACCCCTATCACGTCACAACAATCGGTCAACACCACAACACACTGCTCGAGCCACAACTACACCGCACAGTACCACACCAATATTGCACGCACCCAACCACCACACCTCCACTACACACCTCACTGCACCATAGCACCACCACAACACACAATTAAATTCGACAGCGCGGTGGATCTACTTCACCGTCGTGAGCAGAGAGAAGATGTGCTCACATGCCAAGCAAATGCAAAGGCTCTTGCCTATCACCTCGCACAACAGCGCTAGGTCACTACTGCACATTGTGATAGCAGCGCCATTGTTGTAATCAGCTTCGTTCGACAATGCTGCTGGGAAATCTCAGCCCTCACAGCACCACTTTTGTCACCGACGGACGTCCTCTCCTTGCGTAGGACATTTGCTCGGCGATGCTAGAACAGAACCTCCACCACCGCAGTAGCACGTGCAGCCGCCCAAAATCGAGGCTGGTGATGTTAAAGCGCTGCTCGTACCCGGGCCGCGCCACCACTGTAGAGAGAGAGAGAGAGAGAGAGAGAGGAGAATTTAGGGTTTGGCACACAGAATTTCTCTTAACATAATTTGGGGGTGGGGGGGAATATTTAATACTTAATAATTAAATGCAAACCTAAAATCTGAACAAAAAAACTTCAGGCCTCACTTTTGCACTACTATTTTAAATGTCGGGAATTATGTAATTTCCACAGATTCTAATACAAACTCCATTTTAACTCGACCATAAAATTTGTTCCAACACTAATAAACATCTAAGATTTTCAAGATATACAAACAAGATTAGACACTCATCTAACAATTAACAACACTTATTCTCATACCTAATTTTGGGACTACCGATGTAAAAAATTAAAGCCTATAACTATACCATTGAAAAACTTTGCTAGTATTTATGAAATTTATAACTGTGACTTTAATGCCACCATAAATTTTATTGTACTATGATATTCTGTTAGGTACTTTGTGGTGGCAAATGCAATAGCATGTGCCTATGCAGCCATCTCACTTCTACTCACAATGGCAAATAGGGCAGGAAAGAGATGTTTGGGAATGATAATAACAATCTTTGACCTAGTAATGGTGGCGCTCCTCTTTTCCGGTGTCGGTGCCACCTTCGCTGTTGGCCTTATCGGGTTTCAAGGGAATTCACACGTGCAATGGAAGAAAGTGTGTAACGTGTTCGATAAATTCTGCGATCAAGCGGCCGCTGCAGTTGGCATCTCCTTTATTGGTTCAATGTTCTTCTTCTTGATGGTTTTTCTTGCTACTTTGAACCTCCACAAGAAACGTTACTGAAAAATGCATTATTATGTGTTAATGAGTTCACCAGTATGTAAAAAATGTACTATGTTTGATGTGTTAAATTTTACTATATATCAAATCCTTGTAAGAAGATAAAAATTTTTGACTTTGGTCTCATTAAGTAATCCGAAGATTCCAAACGTTCGCATCTCATTAATCTTAACATTGGAGATCTCACTACCGTTTATTCATTTTGTCAACAAAAAGTTATTTACATTCATAAAAACTATAATGTTAATGTAGCTATCGACATCAAGAGAAAAATTGTATATCCTATGTTCTCTAACTTTTCTCTTCCATTTTGATGATAACTGAAGACTCTAATGACAATTCCCTATTTATAAGACAAATTAGGACAAAATTGAAATTACAAGTGTGTAATTACTAAGTCTCTGTTTGACAACCATTATTTGAAAATTCTTTCTTTCGATATATTCATTTTCAACTATATATTCATACAATAAAATATTCCGCACAGACCGAAATTTTTCCCTACTTTTAAACCACGCATTTTCCTAAAAATGATTATTTAAAACATTATTTGTCCTGAATAATGGCCATCAAACAAGGGCTAAAGTACATGGTCGATCGATGTATTGACTCTATACAACGATAATAATTAGGCTCCACAACTTAACAATTATCACAATCCTTATTAAACTTTTCATACATTTATACATACATGCATAAAATGATATTTTCTTCTGATTTTTACCATTGTTAATGTTAACTTTTATAAAAAATAAAAAATAAAAAATAATTGAGGACGATGTTGACTTCAAATTGTAAGGATGGAAAATTAATGAGTAAATAAAGTAATTAGTAACACATTTTAATGCTAATTTCCACTGAAGAAATAATGAAAATCTCCAAGCAAGCAGCCAAAAAACTGATATTAAAATTGAGCCCCATATTTTTGAAATTGGAAATATTGATACGGATAACACTAAACAAGATTAAGGGAATACTCAGTCTGTTATCTCGTGCAATATTGTCCAAAATTGTATATGAAACCATATAAAAAAATGCCGAATACATCTTTTATCAATAACATTGCTACGAGAAAATGAGTTCATCCCTTGCATTGACAAGACGACGTAAGTGTATACAAATAGTGTACAACAATTCAGAGTTCAGGTTGCTGAATTTTTCTCTACATTTTTGGAGAAAAAATTACCTTAGAAAAATTTTCCAAGTCACAAATTCATCAGAGACTGTAGTTCAATGGGTGCAACTCACACAATAAAGAAGTCCAATAGTTTCTTTCGACATCTTTCTTTTAAGTCGGAAATAATGGAAACTGATAAAAACCAAAGGTTCCTCATGTTTCAGGCTCAGAATCAGAGGCTTTGGATGAGTAAAAATGATGTTCATTGAGGAAGAACAGGCGGTGCAATTGTCCGAGTGTTGTACGATTCACAATGGCTGCATTTCTGACCAATTACATGGAAGTAAACCTCGGTCGTGTCATTGCAATCGTTGCACAGGATCCAAACCTGTGAAATAACCATATCCGTGCATTATGGCATGTTTGATAAGTTGGATTAAACAATATTAAATAAGACAAAAAAGTTAGAATAATGAAATTAAGAAGGGCTGCACGAAAGTACCTTCTTATATCTGTACTCATCAGGCATGACGGTCGCTTCTATCTGTAAAGAGGCAACATTTTTAATATGAATTGAGTTAATTCGACAAAACAAATGACAATGGGAGGGAGGTAAAAGTGCTTATTTATATAGCCCTGAAAAAAAGTAGAAAACTTCAATGAAAAAATCTCAATAACAAAGTATGTGAGACGAGGAAATGATCTACAAAAGAGTTCCCCCATGTTTTTAGTAGAACAATGAAATTAACGAATAGACAAGGTTCTCGCAGAAAAAAATGACTTTAGGCAGACTTAAAATCTCTTCTAGTGCGACAAGCTATGAATCATAAAGCATAAATTGCAAGACAAAAAGAACTACTATCGATATGCAGAGAAGTTAGAGGTGAAAGATGTTGGGTTGTGTGCCCATATAATATATTTGTTATGATAAAATAATTATTTAGAATAAATAAATTGCGATTTTATTTATTTATTGCATTTATTTATTATTGAACATGCAAATTAAAGTGCTTATGATCACTTGTGGTAATATAAATTGGGTATTTGCATTGATAAGTATAGTGTGACACAACTTATAATTTGATCAATTTGTTCACAACCAATGTTATAAGGGTTGACATCTTGTACTGAAAGGTTTTAATGTTGACCGATTGACTCTTTGTGATTTGTCATTATTACAAAAATAGTTAAATATGAAACTAGTACCCTTGGAGTGTATTGAACGAAACATGTGTCGAGTTTAATTCTATAACACGACCGCGTGGATAATTAAATTCCACTTGACTGCTGTGTATTTCATCTAAATCCCTTGACAGGGTTATATGTATATATCAGTTTGATTTGTCAAATATCTCGATAAATTGGGAATTTGAGAATGAACGAAGAAGATAATATGAATTCGTATCAGGAATCGTCACTTTGAAAATGGATAAAATGACTACTTAAATATTTTCTGTTAAACAGTTAAAATCTAAGCTCAGTGTTTAGCAACTGCTAAACTTCGACATTTGTGATTACTTCACAGGACCGTCGAAGGAAATAATACTTAAATTAGTGAGAATAATTAAAAATGCAAAATGGTCATTTATGCTCGTATCTAATTATCGAATCTTGGACGAGGATAAAATATACACACGGCAAGTCATAGGAAAGTATTATAGATTTATTGGTTTCAGTGATCTTATATATTCCAACAATTTAGTCTTTTGCCTTTAGTAAAAAAAAAAGTAGAAACTAATAATTAGATTGGGTGGTCTAAGGTCGACTAGATATGATCTAGTTATTGAAGCTTGAATAATATATGTCCAATCTAATTATTACTAGTTCTATAAAGTATTGAAACTTAATTACGATAATTATAATAGTTTCGAATTTAATTGTAAATACGATAAAGTTTAGTACTTAGTTGTAATTACCATGAAAGTTGCAAACTTAATTATAATAGTAATTGAAGTTCTAAGACTATACATGTAATTAAATGTAAACTAATTTGATTTGAACTTTAATTAAAACTCGATTTTAATTATAACTCTTATTTGGATGTGAAATTATTATTGTATAAGGATTGTAACTATTCTATTTCTATTAGAGATTAAATGAAAACTAGACATCCTATGAGATCGTAAAACAATCATAATACATAATTTCATGGTGTTCAAATTTGAAGAGCGAAAAAAAGAGAGAAAATAATTATTTTATCATCTTATTCAATTATTCAATTCAAGAATTAATTTCTTAATTTAATTAAACGAAAGTGCACGCTCAACGGTGTAGTCTTGGTTTTAGAAAATACCATAGAAGATTTGGAGGTTTTAAACATCAAGCTTTTGGAATTAAAAGTTGAAAGTTCGTGATCCAAAAGGCTGAAATTCGTGATTCGGAATTAGTTAAAGAATTGGTCATTGAATTTAGGTAAAAATTCGAATCATTTATTCTTGATATAACATACACTTGAACATCTAGACAATTTTATTTATTGAATTTATGAAATTTTTAATTTCTAGATAATTCCCTTTCCGTAGTTCCGCATTCCATCAAAAGAAATGCTACAAATATAACCGAAATCAGCTTCCCACAGTGAAATCATCAATAATTGAAAACCTACCTCTTCATCCATTCTCTTCCAGGTTCTGGACATGTCCATGGTCGATTTAGAGCATATTGGGCAGCAGTACCTGACGACACCATCAATGCAACTTGGTAACAAAGTCGTTCACAAATTCTTTTTAATGAAATTTGAAAAATGAATATAGAAGTACATTTCAAGGTTAATTGTGTAATTACTTTTCACGCTTTATCATCTCATTGTAACAGTCGCAATGCATGGTATGTCCGCAATTCATAACGATTGTATCTTTCAAAGAGTCGAAGAGATACTGAAAATACCAAAAACCGGGAAGTATTAGAATCTGACTACTCAAGATTAACAGGAAAGAAATCAGAAATGGAAAACAAAGAAACCTCGTAACATATAGGACAGTGATGTCGCATAGAGTTTTCCACACATGAATGATTGTTACGCAAACTAACTGAATAACAAGAGCCTGCACAATTACAATAAAATATAAGAAGAAATTCAAGTGCTGTAGTGTTCAACTTAAAGAGGCCGTGATATCAGGTTAAGTTCTAAAGACTAGTTCTATTTAGTTGATCACAAAAAATTCAAGTTCAAAATAATTATAATCCTCATATTCAGAATTAATAATGAACTTCAAAAATTTAAAGGAGAGTACTCATCAGTTTTTAACAGCAGAGATAATGAATGGAATTGCGCAATGAATAACCATATAGTTATGCCAAAGAGCATTTACGTACCACACTTCTTACAATGAAAGAAGTTCTCACGGCCACCAACTCTAAATAAGAAATCAGAAGTTAGATCAAATAAGTTATAGAACATCATATTTGGAGCAATTTTGGCAAAGCTGAAAAGATAATTGAAAGTAAATTTTAAAATATATAGCCCCTGTTTGGCCCCCATTTTTTTTTCCAAATTTTAATGTTTGGAATAGTATATATATATATATTTTTTTTTTGAAGAATGTGTGGTTGAAAAATAATTAAAAGTCTTCCATTTACGTGTAATATTATTTTATGGAAGATTGTGTGGTTGAAAATAAGATAGAAGAAAAAAAATGAATGAGAATGGGGGCCAAACGGGGGCATAATTTTTAATTTCCCTCAGAATTTGAAATGAGTAACTTTTTGCTTAAAAGAAGAAAAAACAAAAAATAGTAACTTCATATATTTTTAAGCTTGGCCAAACATCAGCATGGGCAAAAGAGAAGCTGCATAAACTAACCTGCAGATCCCACAATCATCACAATGAAACTGTCCTTTGTCAATCTGCATCAAGCATAGATTAGCATTGATTAAGAGAAGTGACCATAAGAAACAAAATCCAAATAATAATTCAATTGGTTCACAAACTCAAAAAACAGCATAACTAACATAAATGAAGAACAAAGTCATAGGCATATTATCTTATTTACATCATCATCATAGAATTTGCACACGTCACAAAAGTATTCTCCCATATTGACACCGCAATTTGTACAAACACGGGCAACCTGGATCACAGGGAGATCATTTTTATGAAGAGATCAAGTATCAATAGGAACAAAACAAAAAGGCTAATAATTCAAGTCCAAGATTAACATACAGGCTGCTGTGCATCACAAACTGAACAGATAACCTGCAAAAAAAGTGAGTGTATCTTCAATCCATGTTATCGCGACTTTAAGAACAATAAAAATGTACATCAAATACAAACGAGCAAAGAATAGAGATGCGAAAAACGTACTTGTTTTACATCATACCGCACCAATTCATGCCGATCAAAAATGTTTTGCAGCAAATTCTGTTGATATAGACTCGAAGCAAAAAAAATCAGATAAAAAGAAATCAAAGACGTAAATTAGAGGCATGTTTGGTATGCAGTACTGGACGGAATTGTACACATTGACAAGCAAAAGGTGAACTTTTTCTTCTTTAACTATGTCCAGCTGTTCAAAAGATCTTTTGCAGGTAGAATAAATCCAACAAACAAAAATGGATAAACCCCTATATCAAATAAAAGCAAGAGACGATTCTATTGGACTGAAAAAAGAGATAGAGATGGCGATGAGGGTGTCTGGAGAAATACCGTGGATTCATTGTGACAGTGGCGACAATCATAGACCTCATTACAGCAAGGAGCTCGAATCTTGCATCTTCTTCTGTAATGTTTGCATCTATAATAGTTTCAAATAATCAGAAAGTGGATAACATTATACCAAAAAACTCAGAATTATCTCAGAGGTTAAAGATATGAAATTTTGTTTTAAGCACTTAAAAGATTTAAACACTTTGCAAATATACAGACGAGAATGGACACTTCAAGTTAGAACCCCAAATTAAAGAGGAAAGATCCAAATTTTTCTGCAGATTTGAAGATTCAAATATACAGAAAAACACACCAGACCAACAATTTTCAAATGAAATATCAATAATAAAATCGACCAACATAACAGATACCCCAAACAAATTATAGATTTTACACGAAATTCAGCATAACATCAAAAATCATTTCAAACTCCTGCATCCAAATAGCCAATAATAAATATAAAAAAAGAGGGAGAAAAATACCCATAACCCATCTTCCCAAAAGTAAGCCGATCATTGGAGCGGCCTTCCATTAGCATTGGCAAAAATTATTTTCCAGAAACAAGAGGTATAAGCCTGAAAGAGGGAAGTAGATTTAGGGGAAGAATGGAAAGTGCCCAACCAAAAAAAAAAAAGGAAAAGAAAAGCCTACAATCAAATTGAAAATGCCATTGTCTAAATTGGGACACTGACCCTTTTGCATCCGCGAAATAAATAATTCAAACCTCACTTCCTTATTTTAAATTTACTATGAGTTTGAGACTTATTTTTATATAAAAATGTATTTTGAAATAGTAAATTGATGAAAAATATGTGATTAAAAAATAAGGAAAAAATTTTGATACATGTATAATATCATTTTAACGAAGAATGTGTAATTGAAAAAAAGAGAAAAAAAATATATTTTGAAAAAAATAGGTATCAAACAGGGCCTATATATAGTTTCTTGATAGATTATGCCTTTATATGGAAAGCGTGAAACGTGGGTAGGGAATGGGTGACAATGGAGACAAATCGCCGAGGAAATGGGCCAAAGAGATTACGAAGAGTGAAAGCAATTTCACAGAAATAAAGTTGACTGTGCTCAGTTTGTCTCTCGTTAGAATAAAATTCTTTAAACCTTATATTTATTTTTAATCACAGATCCATAAGTTAAAATATTTTACAAGTAAATTTAAATTTTTTTTCCCACTTTTTAATTACCTATTTTCCAAAAAATCACTATTTAAAAAAATTATTTTTTTTCAACAATGACCATAAAAAAGGCCATATTGAACTGTTTAGAGTGGGGAATCTTAGCTCCCATTTTTTGAAATGAAAATAGGTGTAATATTTCTTTTTTTTAAAATGAGTGGTTGAAAAAGAATAAGTGGTTCGCGTTAAGAATAAGCCATAGATTATTTGCTTTTATTTAGCCCCCACTTCACAACTATTAAAGAGTTTTTGAAGAAAATGAATTTCGAAATAGTAATTTTTTGAAAAATGTGTAATTAAGCCCTTATTTGAGTCCCATATTTTTTTATTAAAATACATTCTTTAACAATGATTTGATCACATTTCAATCATACATTTTCAATAAAATTATTACATGTAAACTCAAAAATTTTCTTATTTTTTAACTGCACATTCTACATTATAACACTATTTCAAAATGTAATTTTTGAAAAAAAAAATTGAATTTAAGTGTAAATTATTTTATTTTGAAAATATGTTATTGAAAATGAATTGAAAACAAAAGAGTTTTATCTTAATGATTGTTAGACTGGGGCTTAGCTCTCATTTGATAAAATTATAATTTATTTATGAAGATGAATAGTAAGCAGAATAATAGTAAATCTTACAAATATGTAGATACTAATGAGTATAGTTATGAATAAGAGATTGAAATTAATATTAGACTTTAACATTTTATAAATATTTTCTTTCCAAATGAAGGCTAAAATAAGCCACCCCAACATGCTCTAAATAATCTAAGTCACCACCCTTCCAACGTCATGCGAGACCACCAACTCTGTTACTCCAAAACAGGGCGTCTCAGGCGAACAAAAAGTATATATGAAAAAGTACATTATTCTGCCTTCATTTTTCAAAATTTATTTTTTTTCATACTCATTATCAATCACACATTTTATGAAACTCCCAACTTCAATTAATTTTTAATCATACATTTTAACAATTTTTATTAAAATTTACTAAAAATTTAATTTTTATGCAATCGAAATGCTTACCAAGCAATGCATTTTCTTTTTCTGTGAAGGTCTGAAAAGTTTGTAAAAAAATTCAATTCAAGATTGATTTGTGAGGCTTCTTGTATATCAATATAAATTGACTCACTCACCATCACTAAAAGATGTGAGTTGATTTATTCTTCAAAGAGTCTTATGGTATCAGAACCCCTCTTGGATTAAGATCCATAAACCATTCAATCTCACCCATGGCAGCCAAATCCACTCTCTTCTCTTTCAACACCATGATCCACATGGTAACAACTAAACTCTCCTCCTCAAACTACTTTCTATGGAAAAGCCAACTTCTTCCCCTTCTTGAGAGTCAAGAACTACTTGGTTATGTAGATGAAACACTGAAGCCTCCACCACAATTTGACCCACCCACCTCTCAAACACCAAACAACAAACACTTGGCGTGGAAAAATACTGATCAAAGGCTTCTCAGCCTTCTTCTCTCCTCTTTAACTGAAGAGGCCATGGCTGAAGTCGTCGGCTTCTCCACCTCACGCGAAGTCTGGCTCGACTTGGAAAAAACCTTCAATCATCGCTCCAAAGCTCGCAAGATTCGTCTCAAAGATGATCTCCAATTGATGAAGCATGGAACACGCTCTGTCTCTGAATATGCTCATGCCTTTAAGGCACTTTGTGACCAACTACATGCCATTGGACAACCAGTTGATGCCACGGACAAAGCCCATTAGTTTCTTCGAGGTCTTGGCGTTGATTTCTCATCATTCTCGACTACACAAATGGCAATTACTCCTATCCCCTGCTTCGTTGACCTTGTCTCCAAAGCTGAAAGCTTTGAATTGTTCCAGAAATCTCTTGACTCTCCAAGCCCACCCACAGTGGCTTTCACTGCCACGAATCGCAGCTTCAATCGTGTGAGTCACTACGGCCAACCCTCACGTACCAATCATGGACGCAACAGCAATCAGGGCTTCTCCAATCGTGGTAGTGGATGGAGCTTCTCCAACCAAAGACGCCGCCCCCTACGATGTCAAATTTGTCGAACCGAAAGACACAATGCAGATTGTTGTAACCAAAGGTACACTCGGCAAGACAAATCTGCTCACCTTGCTGAGGCTTTCAATAAATCATGCTCAATGTCTAAAAATGAGGCTTCAAACTGGTACTTGGACACTGGGGCTTCAGCCCACATGACTACCAATCTATCCATTCTGGATCACTCAAATAATTACACCAGTAAGGATTATGTAATTGTAGGAAATGGTGCTTCCCTACCTATAACTCATACTGGTGCTGTCGCTCCCAACCAAGATCTTCATTTACTTGATGTTTTAGTCATTCCTTGTTTAACTAAAAATCTTTTGTCCATTACTAAATTAACTTCTGATTTCCGTCTATCCGTTACTTTTACTAATAACTCTTTCACTGTTCAGAATCATCAAACGGGAAGGGTGGTGGCAACCGGTAAACGAGATGGTGGATTATGTGTACTGGAGCGTGGATATCCCACTTTTATTTCTGTTCTTAAAAAAAAGTCGTTACATGCCTCATATGATTTATGGCATTTTCGCCTTGGATATGTAAATCATTCCATTATCTCTCTTTTAAATAAACAAGGTCATCTTTATCTTACATCTCTATTGCCTTCTCCAACTCTTTGTAATGCATGTCAAATTGTAAAAAATCATCGTTTACCTTATTCACGTAATGACAAACGATCATCTCACGTGTTAGATTTAATTCATTGTGACATATGGGGCCCCTCCCCCGATAAATCCACTTCAGGGTTTGTCTACTATGTTGTCTTTATTGATGACTTTTTTCGCTTCACTTGGCTATACCCTTTGCGTTTAAATCTGACTTTTACAATATTTTCCTTTAATTTCAAAAATTTGTGGAAAATCAATATTCTGCACAAATAAAAAATTTTCAAAGCGATGGCAGTGGAGAATTCACTAGCAATCGTTTCCAAGAACATCTTCGCACATCTGGCATCCATCACCAACTATCTTGCCCGTACACACCAACTCAAAATGGTCGCGCCGAAAGGAAACGTTGTCATGTGACTAAGATTGGCCTAGCTCTTCTTTTTCACTCTCATTTGTCTCCTCGTTTCTAGGTTGACGCCTTCAGCAATGCACTCTACATCATCAATCGCTTGCCCATACCACTTCTTGGAAGTAAGTCTCCTTTTGAGCTTTTGCATGGTTCCTTTTCGAATTATGAAAATTTCCATCCTTTTAGTTGTCGAGTTTATCCTTGTTTACATGATTTTATGCCTAATAAATTTTCTCCTCGCAGCATCCCATGCATTTTTTTGGGATATGGTCTCTCCTATAAAGGATTCCGTTGCCTAGATCCTATCGCCTCTAGAATATACATCACTCGACATGTACAATTTGATGAACATCACTTTTCCTCTTCAGAAACCTCTCACGCTCAACCTCTCTCATCTCTCCATTTTTCCAATTTTCTTGAGCCTGTCTCATCCCATACAAAACCATCTCCCCTTGAGCACCATCCTCCTTCTGTTACTCTATCTGGATCTAACCCGTGTGTTATTTGTACTAACCCAGTGGATAAGTTTGTGCAGGTTGCTGACTCTAATGCAGGTTCTACTTTAGTCCACTTGGACCCCCGACAATCCCCTGTTGAGTCAGACACCGCTCCTCAAGTCCATGATCTCACTCCAGCACCTCCATTAGGCTCTCAACCTATGATTACATGAACCAAGGCTAGTATTTTCAAAACTCACCATCTGGCTAATATTGGCACCTTGGGTTCTTCTGGTCTTTTTTGTGCTCTTCTTACCTCTACTGAGCCTAAAGATTTTAAATCTGCTACAAAGAATCCAACGTGGCTTGCTGCCATGGATGAAGAAATGCAAGCCTTGCAAAATAACTGTACCTGGATTTTAGTCCCTATGCCCGCTAACACCAACATTATGGGCTCCAAATGGGTATTCAGAGCCGATTTTTTGTCTGATGGATCCATCGAGCGTCTCAAAGCTCGTCTTATTGCTAAAGGTTATACACAAGTACCTGGTCTCGACTACAATGATACCTTCAGTCTTGTTATTAAGGCTTCCACTGTTCGCGTTGTACTCTCTATTGTTGTGTCTAACAAATGGCCCCTTCGCCAGCTTGATGTTAAGATTGTGTTTCTCAATGGCACTTTTACTGAGCATGTTTACATGGAGCAACCTCCTGGATATATTGATCGACGCTTTCCCAATCATGTATGTTAGTTGAAGAAAGCTATCTATGGTCTAAAGCAAGTGCCTTGTGCTTGGTTCCAGCGCTTCAGTTCCTTCCTTACTTAACTTGGATTTTTTTGTAGTCAAGCTGACACTTCGCTATTTGTCTTCCATAAGCACTTTGATATCATTTATTTGCTCCTCTATGTTGATGATATTATTATCATTGGCAACAATCCATCTCTTATCCACAGATTCACTTGCAAACTTAATTTCGAGTTTGCTACTAAGGATTTGGGTCATCTTAGCTACTTCCTTGGCCTTC